GTAGGGAAAAAAAATATTTCATGTCTTTATCCTTATAATTACTCCCTATGCATATTAGGTGCACCAGCATTGTTTTCTCAAGGATTAAAGGATTTATTTGTGTTTATCAAATTACAAATACAAATAAAGCACAGAGGAAAGGAGCATTTTTGTACTATTCCCTCGTGGAGAAAGCATCCGTATCTTTCGAGGCTTCAATCGGAAATCCATAGGGAATGATAGTGGAGGAAGAAAGTTGTTAGTTGTCCCTCTCAATATAGCATCCATCTCCTCTATGAATGAAGAGAGCACCTTTTTTTTTCCCCTCCTAGAACTTTGCTTATAGTGTTTCCACTCTAGCGGAATGTACTTAAAGCTAAGTAAGATATATATATGTAAGATTCATCTACTTAGTGAAGCACAATACAAATTCTCATTCGTTGATGGGCAAGTTCATTGGTGGCATTTAGTCATGTGAATTACATTCCCACTTAGGTGGAAAGCTCTATTCCCTTTTTCATAGTCTAGCTAATTAAGTACATGTTGTGAGGATACAATTGGTATGAGCCAAAAGCAAATTCTATCAACTCTGCAACTATGAAAATTTCTTATTGCTGATGTCTTAAGACTCAGCAGTGAGATTGCGACGAGATTTTGGGTCGAAACGGACGATGTGGGTCCCCTTATCCCCTTAGGTGACTGATCCCCTATTTTAAGATAAGAGAGCTACAAAATGGATATGTTAGAGGGACGGTGATGGGTTCTCTGGTGACTCCTTCAACGATCAAGTCAGTATAGAGCTTGAGTGGAGAATCAATAAACTAAATAAGTTCTAAATATACAGATGATGAAATTAGTTAGCCAGAAGTGGCGTGCCTATGGCCTCGAGGGGGGCCTGAAGGCCTCCCTCTTATTAGTGGGCGATGAGCCCATATATACCCACCTAAGAGGGGTAGAAGCATAACTTTGGCTGAGTCTAGGTAGATAGCTGAATCAGCAGATAGCTTTACAGGTGTCGACTGTCTATGCGATGAGTCACCATTAATCTGATGTGATGGTGATTGAAGAGATGTGGAGGGTGATGAGTCATGGAGACTCATGGCCTTAGCAATGATGGTGATGGACGGCTATTGGCATGGAGCTCGAGGACGAATGCCTCTCAATCTGGCTCTGTGAGCGGGATGATAAGTACCGTATTTTTTATCCGACTTGCAAGTTGTCGACCCCGCTTTGAGTGAATGGGGGTGATCGACTCGAGTGATGAGATCAGGTGAGAGCTTGTCTTAACTTGGTCTGACTCGGGAACAGCTGAGTGCCCTGGCTACGTGAGCTGCCTCTGGCTGGGGTGAACTGATCAATGCTAATGCGTGCCGACTCCAAGAGGATTTGCACTTGGCTAATTATTATCATAACATTGGTCACTTTCACTCGAACTTGAGGTAGCCAAGTCCGAGTGAAATAGGACTGTAGCTGGCCGATTCCCGAGATGCATTAATGAGGGGTTGCTAAAGAGTCTTTTCAGATGCGACATTATTGACGTCATTGAAGATCTTGAGCAGCCGCCGCCTCAAATCTTGTGTAGGGATTGCGGGCAAATTAAGATGAGGGGTGCTTCGATCCTTGAGCGGTCGCCTCACATTCTGGGAATGATCTCAACCATTGGTTGGGAGATGAGTCAACCATTATGATCTTGTCACTTGTCGACCTTTCTGCCTATAAGTACGGCCGTCTTGATGTTAGATTTTTTGCTATTCACAAAATCTCTAGAACTCTTCCACTACGAAAGAACTCCGATTTTCTCCGACATTTTCTTCGTGAACTCTCAGATCCGAATACATCTTCATACATTGCTCTGAATGAGGTCCGGATCAACCAACTATAGAAATTCCATTCGAAAGTGTCGTTGTCGCTGTTGGAGAGTGTGTACGGCAAGTATGACATCCCTAGGACGTTTGCCCTAATAGTGTCAGCGCGTGCGCAGGTGATGTACGATCATGACGATAGCATCACTCCAGTGTATCTCAAACACCTAGAGTATGGGTACCACTATATCTTTTCCTTCACTATGTCTTTGGGATCTTAGGAATATCGCCATTGCAAATGAAGCCAAACTCCATCACCACTTTGGTGGGGTTCGTTGTTATCTGCTACTTGTTAGGAGTCAATCCGACCTTGAGGATTCTCACCTCGTCTGTGTGAAGGTGAGCCAGCACAAGAGCCACTATTACCTCCAAGTCCTGGCGGGAAACAAGATTGTCTCCAACACTCCTGAGTCCAATAAGGACTAAAAGGAGAAGTTTATATGGGTGTCTGTGGATGACTCCATTTTGGTTTGCTCCAAATAGCCCAAGATCTAGAAGGATGTTCTGAGGCTTGGGCTGCTGTCGAGTGACAAAAAGCGTGCAATCGATATGATAAAGGCTTACATCGGCTCTCGTTGGATTGAGAATCTCTTCAACAACTTGGTCCTACATGTTGTCTGCATCTCCTCTGTTCCCCCAATTACAGATGATAAGGCTCGCTCGGCCATGCTAATGCTGGGCACAGATGATACCAAGGTGGTGTCGATGGCCCCACCTACTTAGATGTGGGGAGGGCCATTGACGAGGCCGAAGAAGCACCTCCGTCCTGATCTGGCCCCTGAGGAGGTTGAGGGGGTCGAGGCCCATGCGACCGAGATAGCCGCTAGATTGGCCAAGTCGAGTGCTACTACGGCCCAGGCCGAGAGAGGTGAAAAGGAAAAGAGGCTAAATAAGTAGTTGATGTCCCAACAATATGGCTGAAGCTGCTATGGAGGCGACGCTTCCTTTACTGCTCAAGGGGATGCCATAAGCTTGCCTCCGGTGGAGATACCGCCTTCTCATGTAGTGGAGGATGTTACGGCTACTGTCCCGGTCCCAGAAGCCAAAGTTGTCATCGTTGCTAATAGGTCCCCCATCAGAGAAGAGGGGGCTCAGATCTATGTGGTTGAGACTGAAGAGGCTGAGGCCTCAGCAAAGGGCGAGGTGGTCATTGATATGTCTGCTGAGTTGGCTCATCGACAGGGAAAAGAGCCAACCGCTGAGGGGTGGCCTTCTACTCAAGGGTTCAGGTGACTGTAACTCTATCTCATCGATGAGCTCGAGGCGGAGAAGTAGGATAGGCTGAGGATGCTATTGACGAGGTCTTCCAAAGTCTGTCCCCGCTACGATAAGGAGCCTCCCTAGAAGTTCAAATATGAACCTAGGTGACATCTCGATAAGAGGGGGTTAGTTATGGAGTCACAACTCGCCCAAACAAGAGCTATCAAACAATTCTACCTCTATCACGATGAAGTAATCCTCGAGGAGATGCAGGATGTCAGACTTCACTAGTGCTTGAAGGGCTACATGATCCGTGGAGCTCTGGTGGAATAGGAGCTGTTCAGCCGCTATGAGATAGTCCAAACCTTCTACCTCAGACTCCAAGAGAATTAGAGGCCCAGAAGGTTGACCTCGAGAAGGCTCTTCTGGTGCTAGCTGACAAGGAGGATGAACTGACCATCTAGAGGAGAGGCAATGATAAATGGCACCAGGAGGCGAAGATGCAGAAGAAGATGATCAATGGCTTGAAGACTTCAAATAGCAAGAAGTTGGCTGAGATCAACTAGCTCAAGGAGGACATCAGCCATCTCAGACACAAGTTCCAAGAGCAGAATGACAACATGAAATATCTATCCAAGGATGTTGAAGCCGAGAAGCGAGAGAGGAATAATGCCTATGAGCGAGGTCGATTGGATTGACTAGCTACCAAGAGCCTGCCGATCGAGCTGAATATAGAGCAGATAGCTCACAAAAAGCTCAAGCAAGAGAGCACTCATGCTGCGCTGGAGGCCTAGTGACAGCGTGACTCGTCCCTCGCTGAGATCTAGGCACTGCAAGGATGCCTCGCTCATCTAGAGTCTGAGGTCA